ATAAAACCCTCACCTCGCCCGATCCTTGACCTAGAGGTTTCCTTCTCCCACTTCTGGGCGGCGGCGAAAAACCCTAGATCCAGAACTCCAGAGTCATTCGATTTCTTGCGAGAATAGTGATGACGTTCTTAAAGTGATTGGTGTGACTCCTATTGAATCTTTGTTTTCTAATATAAATCTTGATAAAGATGGGATTGAAGATTAGTCAACTTTAGCTAGAAGGTGTCCCAATGATTCGGAGTTTACCATCATCAATCGGGATGCACAGTTTGAGATTTGTGTGATTAACTAATTTTCACAGAGGATATGGTGTACACAACGAACGAAGCATTTTGACACCCGTAAAAATTTGCCGAATCAACATATAAGTAACACAAATCAACTCAAGTGCTTCAGATTTAAGTTGTAGTAGGGCTGTTAGCCGGGCTGTTCTGGGCTGGCAGGCTTCTTTGTGAAACTGAAACGATTTACCAGCGTGATGGGGAGAAGGGTAGCAGGGCATGGTCCTAATGGTGAAGCAAGACGGCGAGAGGGATGCGAGGTCATCGGAGAGAGCAGCATTGGAGGTGGAGCAGCGCACAAGGGACGGGTCGCTGCATCAGCTACCTGAAGCAGTTGTGGACGGCGCGGAGTTTTGGGGCGGAGTGGGATGGTGGCGGAGGTAGCCATCGCAGAGAGGGGGTTCGGAGAGCTGGGGGCTGCGTTCACCCCCAGGATGCGGGATGGGTCGGGCAAGCGAGATTAACTCGCGTGCGACTACCTAATGATGATTGAGACGGGGCAGTCCGCTTAGAAATATAGGCCGCGGGATTGGAAAAGCATCAATGGCACATGACCCGTCTGAGAAAAGTTTCCTATCGATCAGAAAACTGTATACAAGTGCACTATTGTACAAGTGTTTCCCATTTATTTTTGCGTTATCAGGCCGGCTCTCATCTAGAAGAAGTTGTTGATCACACGACTCCACGGAACTGCAGCAGATAATAGATCTTTGTGATGAACGTTACCAGCAGTCATCCGCAGTCGACCTGAGATTAACCTATATCTTGTGTTGGATGGCCCAGCCCTTCCGATCTTCAATGAAGTAGCAGTGTTACATGGCATACTGGACCGTGTGCACCAGGCCTTCATGGCCATGCCATACCCAAACACGTCCTTACACGGCGTCGTCGGCACGCCTAGCACCACCATAGGATTCGCAGGCGACGAGGTGGGCTGCTGGTTTATGAACTCCACGAGGCTTCCCATGAGACTCTTGCTGGTGGCCCTCAGCGGACTGTAGAGGTGGAAACCGTGCTCCTCGCCCTCCGACTCGACCACCGTCACCTCGCGGCGCCGCTGGATCATCCAAGGCCAACGCGAGTCGAGATCACGCATGCGGGCCGCCAGGTGGTGGCCGCGGCCCCGAAGACTGTCCTTCCCGGCCACGGCGATGACGATGAGCACGGGGCGGCAAGCCAGCGATGAGATCTCCGAGGCCGGAGGGTCGATCCGGGGGTCTTCGTTGCCGGCCTGGCCGGCCGTCACGAACGGCCAGAGCCGGTCCACCCCGTTCGGCGGGAACACCGCCACGGTGGCTTCGTTGTCGTCCCACGCGAGCTCCAAAGGCAGCCGCTTGGCTCCCCAGAAGTAAGGCTGCACCATGATCAGCCCCTCGATGTCCATAATGTCGTTGTTGACTTCGTGGCTGGCGCGGACTGCCGTGTGGTAAACGATGTTGCCGCTGGCGCTGTCGCCGGCCAGGAACATGCGCGCGGGGTCGGCGTAGCTGGCCAGCGACTGGTCGGACTAGGACGCCGCCATGGATGTAGATGACGAGAGGAAGCCGATTCCTGCCTGCGGTCTCGGCGGCACCGGACGGGAGGAACAGGCGCACAGACACGCCGGTGGCCTTGTCGATGACGACGTCCCTCGTCGCCACCCCACGGTTGCGGGCCTGATCCGACGAGGCCGGCACGAATGGACTGCGCAGGAAACGCTCGATGCTGCCGTCCTCGTACTTGCGTACGAAGGGGTACATGTCCACGGAGATGTTACGTCCGTGGTTGTGATTCAGGCTGGACGGAGCGAGCGGGCTTTTCGGCCCGCTCGTGGCCCGTTCTGGACCGGACCGTCCGGTCCTGGCCCGCGGAAGAATTTGTTCTGTCCGGTTACTGAATTTCGGCCCGAAATTTTCTCGGTCCGGTCCGGTCTTTGCCCGGTCCGACCGAGCGGACCCAAGGTGCACGCCGTTCTTCTTCACCGCGGCCACCGGCGACGCCCTGGACGTGTCCCACCCGGCGCTTTTGATGGGAATCAAGTACTCACTCACGCAATTGACACAGGCACAGGGGCAAGAGGTAGAAGAAGACCCAGATCACGCGCTGCCTTTTCTTTTTTCCTTGTATTCAGTCAAACAGAGAATAGAAAGAACGAGAGTGCCGGCTTTCGATCCGATAATCGCGGCGCCATTCCTGACTAGTCCTTCGCTGCCGTTTCCTTTTACTAGCTACTAACGAGAGAATCCGATAATCATGCACCCATCCAATGCTTCCGTTTCCTTTTATCAAGTCGAACAGAAAACAGAAGGAACACCCTATTCCTACGTGACTTGCTTACCAAATCTATACGTGCTACCTTTGTTTGGATTGTAATAACTGCCCCACGATTTTAGGTAACAGTAGCAATCCAATTCAATTAGTACATAAGTTTACGTAAAAATCATTCTTAGAAATATATCACTACTAAAAAGAAAAAGAACGACAGAAACAGGCTCGATCCTATAATCACGGCGCCATCCCACGACTAACTTCACGTCAGATTTGATCCGTTAATCAAGGCAAGGCCTGCACACACAAAATCGTGGGCTAATGCACGTCCTACAATACTTGCATGCGACAAAAAAACTGCTAAGGAGCAAACACGCGCAGGCTCATGGCTAACAATGGCACCCCGGCCGGCGCCGCCGCGTCCTGTCTCTTCCATGTGTGCACCACCGTCGATCTCGACCATGGAGCGCCCTACACCTCATCCTGCGCTCTCCGGCAAGCCCTGTTGCGCATTGTGCCCTCATCTACCCTGACCACGGCCGGTACTCTCGGTCCAGCCCGGGCTGGAGCGCTGTCGGTCCGAACCCTGAAATCAGGACCGCCCAGCTGGTCGGTCCGGTCCGGTCCGGTCCGGTCCGGTCCGCCGGCGGCCGGTCAAAACGGCGGCTCGGTCAAGGACCGGACCGTGTCCACCCTCAGTTGTGATTCGCTGGAGAACTCTTGCTTGCCTGCATGGCGCTTGTTTCGAATTGTGCCCCGTCCACGTTGGCTGCATCTCATGGGATTTTATAGAGCGATTTGCTTCATCGGCACTTTACTAATGAGATTCGGACGGAATCGACGGTAGTCGATTGGTCTGATGCATTACCTCCGATCAGACTACAGAGTTAGAAGAGTTTTTTAGAAATAAATATGAGTATTTTCATTTTCTGTGCTAAATATGCTTTGAAAGAGACCAAGTGGTTGTACAGTTCACATATGCTGATAGCGCGACTACAGCAGAAGCATTGGCTCTTCGCCGAGGTCTACAACTTGTCAATCAAATGGGCTGCTCCAGGGTGACGGTTGAGTCAGATTGTTTGGAGATTATTTCGGCATGTAGAGGCGAGGCTGACATTTTGGCACCATATTCTGCGATCTTAGCAGATTGCTTCCTGTATGCCCATGACATTGCTTCAATTCAGTTTCAGCATTGTCCGAGGGAGGCAAATGGCTTGGCACATTTCTTAGCAAGACATGCTTTTTATTCAAACCTGGTGTTTAGTTGGGATGATGATCCCCCTAGTTTCCTTTTACCGCATGTTTTGAAGGACGTAATTCTCATTAACTCATAATAAAGTGCCGAGCAGGTTTTCCCTTCAAAAAAAAAGTGGTTGTTCGACCATGCGTTCGTCTGCTATTAATAGTATGAAATAGTTCCTATCACGACAGAAGCAACTACCCCTTTGTCTCAGTTATTATGGATGACCACCTGCCCAACTAGGTCGATTTTTGGGTAAGTTAGCTCACTCATCTACTTATGAAGTGATGGCAGTCGCTATATGTTTATGGGTACGCTTACATTCAGTACACTACACGAAACACTCTCTTTACCTGCCGACTATCGCAATCTTCGGCGAGTGTATTTTGTCGAACACGCGGTAAATCCTATATCCTAAATCAAGTGATAGGCAAAACACTTAGTAAATACAAAACACTTGGTATAGGCAATGCTTTACCGAATGTCGAACCAATTACTGCCCGTAACCTCTGAGACATTTTCCTATTAGGGGTTCTAATTGGAAGTCTAATTGGAAGTTTGTTGACGATCCAAACTTATAGGGGTTCTGTTTCTCACGGGGATACAACTCATTTTATTGCCATCGCATCTCTCGTCTGCATGGCACAGCGGTCAATATCCGACGCGACGACGCCAAGATATGCGGTGGCTGTGACGAAGAAAATAATGGCAAACCTCACTTGTCTCATCATCCATATCCATGTGCATGCGTCTATTCAATTTTTTATATATTTTGATCAAATCTGACGGAGTAATGTTATGTTGTTGTGTAGTCTGTCCTTGCATGGGCGTTGGAGATGGACAACGGCTAGCGCAGAGCGTGCGGCCGGCGGCAGCTTGAGGACAAAGATTAGATTTGGTGATCATCGCTCTTGCCGTCAATTGGTAAGATTAGGGGCATGTGCGAGTATGAATTGAGTACATGCACTGCAGGAGGCCTTCGCCGCCTGCGCAGAACGTTTGGATCGAGCGATCGCTGGATGGGCTCTACCAACATACCTTCTCCAGTTCTTCTCCACTGCATGGTTAATGGAATCTCAAGGTATTTTTTGTTCGTGCAAATTTCAAGACCGTAGTATCTTTTGTAACTTCCGCTCAGTAAATTGATGGCATCTTGAATCTCTCATTACCATGAGATATATGTTACAACTCTAGCTTCTATGACGAGCACTTCTGAATCAAGTATATGCAACTGCACAAGGACTACTATCTTAATTTGGTTTCGGTGCAGATTATTTCTTTGCCAAAGAAAGGGTGCCAATTTATGTGGGCCAGACGAACCTCTCACCGCTTCTCTCATTGCTTACTGCATACAAATTCGATTTGGAGAACCAAGAGCTTTGTTCCACCCATGCATGGCCGTATTTGTAGCAATACATTTACGTACACTTGATGGAGCAACATGGAAAGCACTCGTACCGCTCGATTAGTATATATGTAGCTCGTTGGAGGCTACGTAACATGTAACAGCATATGTAATCCTACGAAATTAACAGTTGTATACTTATTTGGTTATTCTGATGATGTATGCTAAGCAATATATGGTCCCATCAAGAAAAAGATATATACTCTTTAAAAACGGCAGGATATAAAAACGGCAGGGTATATACTCTTCCTAAAATTTGCAGTACAATAGTATAAAATTAATAATATTGTATATACTCTTTAAAACGAAGTCAGTACATACTCCTAAAGAAAGTCAGAGCGTACTCTTTCAGAAAAAAATAAGTACATACTCCTTTAAAAAAAGTCAGTATATACTACTAGAATGTCAGTGCATACTCTTTCAGAAAAAAAGTAAGTATATACTCCTTATAAAAATACAGTTTATACTCCTTAGAAAATGATTATATACTACTTTAAAAACTTTATACTGCATATACTCCTTTAAAAAGTTAGTATGTATAGTCCTTTGGAAACAAATTCTTTATGTACTCATTCGGACCAAATTATGTATATACCCCTTAAGGTCAGTATACCCATTAAATGAAGTTTATACTCTTAAAAAAATAGTATATACTCATGCAAATGTAAGATATACCTCCATACTCTTTTTATTGTTTCACAAATACCAATTTTAGGGGAGGTTCAAATGTACACAGTTGTCAATTACTAGGAGACTTGTAATTCCTAGCGCATGATTCATATGCATGCCATATACTCCTTTTTATGTTCTATAAAAATATCCAAGGTACCTATGTGATGGATGTGGCAACGTGATCGTTAAAAAAACAAAAAGCACCGGCTGCATGCGCCTTATCTAAAGGAAGTAGTTTTTTTTTTCTTTCTTTTTTTTGCATGGTAATACGTGTCTCATTCATATCATAAAGATTAAAGTACAAGTCACGCAAGGACCGACATGACAAAACTGAAAAGATAGCAGAACATCTCTGAGCTTGACACCAACGCCCATCATCTGCCTCCGGCACCACGACAGCAGCCACCGAAGAAAAGAATGATGGATCACCTCCTCACCCGAGCTCGACGCGGCTCCATCGCTGATATGCAGCTTTGCGGACCTCCAAGGTGGCTCACCAAAAGTGAAGCCCTTACCGTTGAACGAATCAGAC